GTTGTACTGTGTGATATTGGTATTTATGGAAACATTTTACACCTTTCCTTCAAGTATTATACGTTGTAGTTACTTGTTGGGTACTTAACATGAATAATCACAGTTACTATCCTTTCACTCCATCACATTTCAAAGAGAAATAGGCTATTGTTATTTTAACTCCACCACAGTAATCCATCATCAGCTTTACTTTTTAGATAAAGATTTAAATCACAATTGATCATAACTCAAAATACATATATTTTTATATATTACCAAGTGGTTTCATGTAGGCTACAACCCACACAAGTTTCATGCTAAATTAAGCTCTGTTGCTTGGATATCACTAGATCCTGTTACATCAGCGTAATATAAAAGTACATAACGACTGATGTGTAAATTAGCATAATTACTAGCTAGCCGCTAGCTGCTAACTGCCGCCTCGTCGTTAATATCAAATCCATCATAACAACCCATTACCATGCTGTCATGAACGCGCGGTGCTGTTACGTGTACGCAAATTGACGTGCTTGATGTGAGCGAGCATTTTGGGGGGCATGTTTAAAGTTGCGCATGCGCTATGAGCGCACATACGGGTACTTCTCAGGCATGCCGGGTAATCTGTGACGTTTCGCTCTCTCAAAAGTTGGGCCATTTTGTCATCATGCGCGATTGAGCAACTCTCATAGGAATGAATGAGGCCCCGCCTCCCACGCTGTATCCAGTTCTTATTATACATCCATGATCCCCCTGCCCGATCTGTACTGCACATGTGCGAGATGGTCCGCCATATTGGACAACTACATACGGCAACTCTACTAGGACACTTGACACAGTGGCTTTTGGCAAAGCAGAAAAAGAACCGAGAGAGATTATTGTTATTACAACGTGACTTCACTATTATTTAACAACTCTTTTTATTGGGTTCTTTTATTTGGGGTTAAATACATTGTCAGAATAAGTGAGACATGGATTTAACTTCTGTTAGACAGCTATCATACTGAATAAATATTTACTGTGAATGTTTGCAAAAATGTATGGCATATAGCTGTCTAACAGAAGTTAAATCCATTTCTCACTTATTCTGACAATGTACTTAACCCCAAATAAAAGAACCCAATAAAAAGAGTTGTTAAATAATAGTGAAGTCACGTTGTAATAATAATCTCTCTCGGTTCTTTTTCTGCTTTGCCAAAAGCCACTGTGTCAAGTGTCCTAGTAGCAACCCGGTATCACGGCAAGACGTGAACATGTGACGATCTACCATGCTGGGAGACGTGAATATGTCACGGTTTCGTCCCTTCAAACGTGACAGTTACACGGTATTGTTAACATGGCCCAACCAGTGGAGAAATACCCGGAAGTGCCAAGCAAATGGTCTACCGCGCCTATTGGTCGGTTTTTATTGTCAAAATGAGATGTTTTTAATTATTTTTTAATCGTCACACTTGATTTCGCCGATTTTCTTGTTGCCCTAGCTGGTCGACACCTCTTTTAGCAGAAACAAAGGCTACATTAATGTATTAAATCGATGTTAATCCATGTGTGTGGATCATAGACTGGTGTGGATGTGGAATTAACGGACGTGACGTTGTGCGATTGCGTTGCCAAGCAACGCAATTTACAAACTCTTCAACTACAACCCTAATTATATTTTAAAACATTTTAGAATGCCTCACGAAATACTTTAATGTAAATTAAAATGTAAATGTGAAGGGATGTGTGTAATGTGATGATTGACATTATTCACCCACGGATCTATGGGTTGGGGGTATTGTTCCGCACGGACATTTTAGTTAACCGGACTTACTGTTGATGTGAAATCCGAAAAAAAAAACGTTATACACCATAACGGTGCACAGCTGATATAAAAGGACTTGTCGTTTTTAAAGATATTACTGATTTTTTTTTAATATAAGAATGTAAATACTGAGTTGAGAGAATAGTCAGGGGATTTGGGTGATGGGAGACACATCTATGGATTCAGAATTTCAATAGCTTACTGTTAAATGACGGATATACCTTTCTGTCTGTGATGTTTTACAAATCAGATATTATAAGTAAAACATGTGAAATAATATAGCAATATCCTGTACAATTATGTGAAAACATGAATAAAACTACACATCTTCAGATGTTATACATACACAAGTGTCCTACACTAATAATACAAAGTTATTATGGCTGTGTGTACCTTGTGTGCACCGCCTAGTGGTTAAAGCACGTTATTGAATTAGTTGTGTATATGTCAATGAACCTTAGAAAATCTTGAAAGGGATATGCAAAATAGCCATTATATACAGTCTTTAATTAACTATTAGTAGAGAATAACGAGTAATGAATATACTTTATAGGGTATTGCAGATAAATGTTTAGTCTTCTCAAGCAGCAACTATCAAATATCTCTCCTGATTGTTGGCACTTGACAATCACCTTTCCCTGAATTTTACTCAGGTGTAACTAAAGCCTGATTTAAGGGTTGTTTATATTTCACATCATTAATCAGAATCTGCAAAGTAACTAAAATAAATGTAGTGGAGTAAAAATACCAGGTTAACCTCTGAATTGTAGTGGAGTAGAATTGCTGTTTTGTTTAGTAATGGATATTGAATATGGAATAAAGGTTTTGACAAGACCTGGTGTAACAATAATCAAAAAGGACATTAAAAGAGCTCCAGATGTCAATGATCTAAACAAAACAGCACACCTGAAATGTATATTTAAATACTTTATTAAGGGCAGTGAATTAGTTTTTTCTGTATGTTTTTCAAATCAGTGTTATACAGTAGGCTAAGTGTCATAGACAGTGTTACATTGTTATTATTATCCTTAAAATATATATAAAACAAAACCACTTATGATCTTTTTTTTGGGTGGTTTACTAATGACAGTTAATTCTGTTTCTGCTATTGATGGTTTCATTTTTGTGAAAAATAATAAAATAATAAAATTCAATAACGTGCTTTAACCACTAGATGTGCCTTTCTATCAGCTGTGCACCGTTATGGTGTAAATACAGCCTATCTACCAATTGGATCAAATATAAAAGTCAGCCGAATAGTATTGATACTGCAAGGAGACGTATTGTGTGAAAAGAAATGTAAGATGTTGTTTAATTGCTGATATATTTATGATCCACGTTACGTTTTCAGTTTTGGCGGCAGTGCTTCCTGTTTGTCCAGAAGTCTTCTCATCAGGGCTCTATAGCCTACTGTACATACAGAACTACGGCAGATATGTAATATTTAATGCAGCCGAACCGTGTATTACAATGCCGTTATGTGGTGACCTCCAAAGAGAAAAGCAAGCAAACTCGGAATAAAGTATTATTTTATTTTTAAATTTTATTTCGGATTTCACATCAACAGTAAGTCCGGTTAACTGAAATGTCCGTGCGGAACAATACCCCCAACCCATAGATCCGTGGGTGAATAATGTCAATCACCACATACATTACACACTTTTACATTTTAATTTACATTAAAGTATTTCGTGAGGCCTTCTAAAATGTTTTTAAATATAATTAGGGTTGTAGTTGAAGAGTTTGTAAATTGCGTTGCCTGGCAACGCAATCGCACAACGTCACGTCCGTTAATTCCACATCCACACCAGTCTATGATCCACACACATGGATTAACATCGATTTAATACATTAATGTATCCTTTGTTTCTGCTAAAAGAGGTGTCGATCAGCTAGGGCAACAAGAAAATCGGCGAAATCGAGTGTGACGATTAAAAAATAAATTAAAAACATCTAATTTTGACAATAAAACCCGACCAATAGGCGCGGTAGACCATTTGCTTGGCACTTCCGGGTATTTCTCCACTGGTTGGGCCATGTTAACAATACCGTGTAACTGTCACGTTTGAAGAGACGAAACCGTGACATATTCACGTCTCCCAGCATGGTAGATCGTCACATGTTCACGTCTTGCCGTGATACCGGGTTGATTAAACTACCAGGAATTTACACTATTAATGACAACATCAAATTTAGTTATGGCAGAACTATTTTTCATGCTGGCTTACTATTTCAATTTATTTGTGTTTTACCCCTTTGTTTCCTGTTTGTGTTTAAAGGTCCCATCATATGCTTTTCTGGTTATTACCCGTCCCCTTGTATGTTATGTAACGGTCTGCAAAGTAACAAACCCTCAAAGTACAGCCTGTAGCGAGTGAAACTCTAACACAGAAAATACGTGTCTATGCTGCCCCAGAACGCCTCGTTGTAGATTTTTCTTTTTCCATTTTTTTCTTCCGGGGCCTATTGACGTCACTAAGTCCAAATGGACCAATTGGCACACAGCTATAGAACAATAGGCACACCCTCTGCCAGGGTGGACTCCCGAGCAGCTCAGGAGTCCGCCCCGCGAGGCCCCCGGAGCGGACAGTGTGAGGTGGATTTCCCACTGTGTTTCCCTGGATGCTGGATATAGACCAAGTGCCATGCCATGGTGTCCGCTGGCATGGCACGCAGACCCCAAGCAGCAACCAGGAAACGCCACCAGTAATCCGCCAAAACATGGGACCTTTAACAACGATTTTCTGCTAAAGAATGAAGATTTGAGATTAAAGTAAAAAAAAAAAACTCTTTCACAGGTTTTCCTCAGATATGAAATACATCATCTGAAGGGAATGGTTTTCTGAGGTCTGAAATGAAGTTAAGAGTTTAATGATCCTGAGAAGTGACTCAGCTCAGTCCTGACCACAGTAATGGCTTCATTTAGTTCTTAAATAACGGAAAAGTAACATCAAATGATGCCCACTGATATGTGCATAGAAAAGCAAGGACCAAGTAACAAACAATATGTCAGTTAAATATTTAACTACAGCAGGTATTGGATGTTAAGCACTGATGAATGTAAGGGGAAGGGATGAAGAAAGAAGGGGGATGTCATCTGTCAGGCTGGTCTGGAGGACCAACTGAAGTCCAGGCAGATCGAGACTTAATGTAGGGGTCCCAATCTGAATATAAGCCTCCAAAAGGAGTCCGTTTTCAATTTAGCTGAGTTAGTATTGATTTAACTGAGATCCCAGACACTGTGGATGTTGTAGCGATATGGGATGATTGGCGACTGAGGAAAAACGACATGTGGTGACCAGGTATAAGTAAGTTAAGCAGCTGATTAGGTGTGGCTGAAGTGTTAACTTAAATAATTGTTGATCGAAACCTAAGTTTGCTTATATATAAGTATTTTTTTTAAACAGCATTTCATAGAGTATCCTTAACTTTGATCTTTGTTTTTTCATTTAGTATATACAAACATTCGTAACACCCTTTGAGGCAGCATTCATTGAAATGTTCTGTGACAGATCAATCCAGATTTGTCAAGTCTCTTGTTGATGGTGTCACCCTGAGATTTTTCTCCAGTGTCACCCTGAGATTTTTCTCCAGTGACAGAAAAATGAATGGACACATTTGTTGTCGGTGAAGGTTACTTGATTTTACTGAAACACAGTTAGATTTTTTTTGTTCTTGACAGCTGGCAGAATACAAAACTTCCTTTCCACATCACACTATTTTTAAAGCATGGGCGTGAATAAAACACAAGGCTGTGTGGATAGCTGTGTGACCTATAATTAAGATTCTTCCCAACCAGAATATTTCAGTCCTCTACTTTCAAAATTACTGTTCTCGCCTTTCCTCTGGGTGCTTATATTCACTGAGCATTCCTTAGTAATTCTGAGCTCCCCCTTTTTTGAATTTGTGTGGATAATTAGGTTAAAGGGTAGTGCTAGTTAATGTAATCAAAAAATAATGGTGGTGGGGCAAACCTACCCAGGGACCCTTTTCAAATGATTGTTTGTTAACATAAAATGGTGTGTGTGTGTGTGTGTGTGTGTGTGTGTGTGTGTGTGTGTGTGTGTGTGTGTGTGTGTGCCTGAAGAAGAAAAATATATAAATGTCATTATGAGATCACGTGTATCAGCATTGATCAAACATGCCTTCTGTAGCTAGGGTGAGCCATTATCAGAATAAATTAGCAAGCATGCGGTCATGGTCATGGTCGATCACACACCACACACGCACACGCACCCACACACACGCACCCACACACACACACACACACACACACACACACACACACACACACACACACACACACACACACACACACACACACACACACACACACACACACACACACACACACACACACACACACACACACACACACACACACACACACACGTCACAGTGTATTATGCTTGAACAAACAGAGCTGTCTGCTCCCATATGACTGACTCTCAATCTACTTATACCTCAAATGCGCAGCTAAAAGCTTTGCATCCTGTCACATCTTCTAAACTAGTACTATACATTCAAATCAGTTACCCTGAGATCATCTTTCCCTATTGTGCCTTAAACAGCTGGTGTTTAATAAGCCACACTCCATCCAAAAACAGATATACCTGAACACTACCTGTATATAATAAAGGAAGTAGAAAATAGCTAAAACAAGAGTGTTACAAAAATTGTAATGCAGGGTTTTATTAATCATACACTGAATGCCAGAGCACCTATATATAATCCAAGATAATGCACTTAAAACAAGGATAATACATCATATTTTGAATATAAATAAAGGTATTATGCAAACTAGGAAAGGTGGATATATATTCCCCTTCCCTTTTTCCAGATATTAGAACAGTAAAATTATCCTTGTGAAAAAACTGTTTTTCTCACATTAAAAAGTTGTAGATTTATGTGAACGCAACAGAGAATCAACATAAGTATTTATTTGGAATCATGTTTGTGTCCACCTGCTAAGGCTCCACTATGTTCAGAAGCTTTTCTTTGTCGGTCTCCTCAGCTGTTCAGCGCTGAGCATGTCATGCACAGTGGGAATTTAGAGCTTTTTTATTTGAAGGAGTTCAATTACTGAATGTGACAATGATCAATTTTCCACCTTTGCGATCAATACAGTTTCATATTTTTCAAATTGATCTAGTTCCTCAGCCCTTCTTATAAGAGGTCTGGTGTTGGATGCCTCCACAGTATGAAGCCTTTCAGAGCACAGTGGTTCGATAGCTTGTTAGCATGCCTGAGAGTTCCATGACAGAGCCTGAAATGCAAAAGAAAACACTCACTCTGAATATAAATTAATAATATAACTTGTCACTTTTTAAGCTGAGTCTAGTGTAAGCCTTGCATAGCATGGGTACAGCAGTTTTTGCTGGTGTAATGGTTATTATTCACCCTGTCTTGTGTTCCTCTGGGTACAACCTGCCTTTAATCTGACTTACACCTTACTGTGTGTCTCTGACTGCAATCATGACGCAAGAGGAGCAGGCACAGTTCAGTTTGGTTCAACATTTGCAGAAGGGAGAGGCAGAGAGACACATAGCTACACCGCTCAGATAATCTTAAGTGAAAGAATTCGGCTCACCTTTAGTTCACCTTTATGAGCCCCAGTCTTGTCAGTATCGATGTCATCAGAACTAATTTTAACATTCAGAATTTCATGATGAGGCATGCTCAGAGGATCAATGAGGACCTCATAGGGGACAGCAGGATGTTTCCACGAGGAGGATATATGGACACTCCAGCTCTCAGACTGCCCAAAGGTCCCTGTGGACAAAGACACTGCAATTTCTATTTTATTTCCACATTGGGCAGCTTTGTGCTGAAGGAATTTGCAGTTGAAAATGTGGCTTCTTAAAATGTCACAATGTCTGAATCCATTTGAAATCAAGTGTCTGCAGGTCCCTACTGTGCAGACCCCCACTACTGACCCACAGGGAATTGTAATCTTTATATTTGAGTCTTATTTCAGGTTGAAATATACATATACATTGAAAATATTACTAATGACAGTTCCTAACAAATTGAAATTTGAAACGTATTTTTCCTGTCCACTCTTAGATTATCAACGTCACACAAAAAGAAATACAATTGCTCACAGTTATGTAGAAGTTATGGATGTAGATTTTCAATAGGTGAAAAAGTCAGTTTTGCTGGATGTACGTGAAGCCAAAATACTATCGACGTGACAGCGGTTTAAATTAATAGCTCAACATTTTGTTGTGCATTAAATATGAACCGACAGTCACCAGCCAGTTAGCTTTAGGACAGTAAAAACTTATTTTAGAACTATTCCTTTAAAGTCTTGGGTTTCTAAAATCTGGAGGTTCCCTACACCAATTGGTCAGTAGAAACAATTGTAAACGTCTATTTATTTGTTGCAATGTTATGGCCTTAAGGAACATGTGCTCTTACATCATTATCTGACTGAATAACTCAACCAAATGACCTTATTTATTTGATTATTATTTATATTTATGTATAGGTTATTATAGCTAACATTGTGCTTACATGGTGCATTACCCTGAATAGATGTGTGTTATTACCAAAAAGTAATTCACATAGTGTAAACCTGCAGCCAGGTAGTATTTTAGCATAGAAGTGCTGGTTGTTTACGCAGTCTCTAGGCAAATGTAATTAAGCTGCCATGTAGTTTGCTATGTGTGCTGTACTTGATGGGTACTTGAAGGTGACAGGGCACATTCACACTACACGAGGAGTGGGAATAAAAGGGCAAAACTGCTTATTTTTACCCCAGGCCCCATAGTGGTTTAATCCAGCCATGAATATTGTCACACTGAAAGAAAAAGCCCACAAATAAAAGCATTTCCACCAAAAGCACCGCACCATGATTTATGTTGTTGGCATGGACATTAATAATGTCTAGAAAGAGGGGATTGACACAGATGCAAAATGGCACCCACCTATGTATTCTCCATGTGCGCTCCAAAGGCGCACAGTGTAGTCTGTGGATGAGGTAAGCACCACTTGATCATTGTCAACAATCTGCAGGCTGGACCAGAATACAGAGACATGACATTTAATGAGAGAAGGCATTTCTGGCAGAACACCCTAAATCATCCACTCTGTTGGTACGTCTGATGGCAGATGCACCCCGCACAGCACCTTACCTATACTGATTGTCTGTTTAAGACCCTCCCACACACAGTTTCTTTTGATTTGTCTACTGCAGCAGAAGGAAGTTTTGCTGTGCTGCTGCTACCAATAAGTCATTCTAAAAAAAAAGATTGCTTCCACTAAGGATGTACCCTCGGGGACTTTTAAGCATACAACAAACTTAAAGTTAGAGACACAACCCAGAGTAGAATTCCTGTTTGATAGCGTTCACCAGATTATATAAGATTAGATAATATGACTGGCCACAATTTTTTACATACCCAGTAATTCGGCTGGTGTGGGCACGCCAGAAGCCTTCAGCTAAATGAAGATGAAAAAACAAAGAGGGTTTAATTTTCCACGTTCTGATGGACAGTAACAGTTTTTCACTGTATGTCTAATCAAGGTGAAATATTCAGATTACCTCTAGGTGATTTTTGCCCAGCAGTAAACTTTTCCATGTTGTAAACATAGATGTAACCAATCCGGTCAGCAGCGTACAGCAACGTGTCTTTGGCTGTTTTAGCCAGTTTTGTAATCTTTTGTTGGAATTTAGACTACAAAATGAAAATGAAAAAAAGCAAAAAGCGTTACTTTAAAATCATGGCACACACATCTCACCAACTTTTCATATTAATGATTTTGCATTAACTGACTGTAGCAAGTGTTACCCTCCCTGAAAAGAGACTTAATACATTATAGCCTCTCCAGATAGCCTAATACATCCTCTCCAGATACATAATATCAGGTGCCTGGTTACTTTTGAAGAAACAAAAGTAGATTCAAATAATAGCACCTCGAAACTGTTGAGAGACATTGTTGCTAGGTAACAAAACAAGTGGGCTACGATAGCAAAGAACATATATTGTTTTAGTTTTTTTTTGTGTGTCTTTAGTGACAATGTATGACTTCTATTTGGGCTACCAATATTAAAGGTCTCTGCTTTGCATTATGTAGCTGCAAGGAAGGATCCTGCAAGTTGTTCAAAAAATAGCACTAAGCAAAGAAACAGTTTGCCACAAACGATCCTAATGCCTGATAAGCTATTTTAAATATAGGAGAAAGAAAAGCAAAAACTAGAGTCCTATGCCTTGGGACCCAAAAGTGAATCCAAGAATATTGTTGAGATGCATTTCTTACAGCTTTGAAACTCCCAGCTAATTTGCTTCCACTGAGCACGTTCCAGATATTTATACAACCTTTAAAAGAGAAAATACATAATTAACAGTGTAATGGAAGACGTTGTGAGAGGTTTTAAAATGCCATCATGCGCTGTAATTAGAGCTGTTCATTACACTGACCCATGGCTCCTGCCGACAGCAGAGCTGTAGCCGAGGAAAAGTGCTGCAACTTGGAGTTCTTAAAGAAAATTATACTTGGAACACTTGTATCCAGTCCTGTATCACAGAAAAACACATATAATTATTGCAATGTTACTTGTGTTGAAAGGTGCTATATAAATAAACTTGCCTTGCCTTGCCTATATACACATCTGAGTTTAAAAAATATATATTCATCATCTGCCTTGCTTCAAGGTTACCTTCAACATTTTGGTGTTCAGCTAGAAGAGGGCTGACTAACCGACACCGTATTCGTCCAGAAATTACATTCCACACTATAATCTCTCCATCATAGCTGCTGGTGGCTAGGAGAGATGGGGGACACTGTGCCACACAAAGGATGTCCTCCTTATGGCCACTTTTCTGAAAAAAGACAAAGTGCAAGTATTTAAAAATTACTCCAGGATAAAACATTTACAAGTTTGAGCACAGTTTGTTATGAAAGATTCCTGCCCTTTTTATTACCTAAGAACAGAGTGGAATAATTTATTATCACTTCAAAACATTTTAAACTCTAACTAGCCACAACCTTAACTTACTTGTTTTCCTATATATATTAACCGTATCAATTTAGAAAGGATCAAGGAGTTTGCACACCTTATAGAATAATGAGTGAGTGAGTTCCCCAGTTTGTTCACAAAAATATTAAAGGAAATTCAAACAAGTCAAATATTACTTCAGCCACTGTACTTGAACACTGAAACTGATGCGTATTGTGCGTCTTGTTTTATTCCACTGATCTCAACAGAAATATGTTCTCTTGGTGTGATGCTGCCAACCAGAAACTGTACACAAATCAGGAAAAGCAGATGGCATTTCTGACCGGCACTGATTACTTAACTTACTGTAAATTATATTCAAAGGCCAAGTGAAATATTAGCTGAACCAGGCCATATTTTGAAATATTAATGAATTGTAACATAACTCAGACCATCTGGAGGAACAGAGAATAAATCACAGTAAACCCGAGGATAAGTGGATAACGGAAATGGACCAATATACAGTAAATTATATAATGTATATAGAAGAACCCATTGGTCTCTCTCCTGCAGGCCTTTCATGAAAAACAATCATCAGAGAAGGCTCTAACAGGGGTCACTTTTCTTGCTGTCCTCTCTACTGCATTATTTCTCCTCTGTTAGTTGGCCTATATGAGGGTGAGTGCAACCACCAACCATAATAAAAGAGATGGGAAAGAGAGCTGGGCCCTGCATTCTGAGGTAACCTGACCACTTTATACAGGTCAAATCTGATCAAGGAACTGCAATCTATTCTGATATTTTATATGGACTGAACACACAGCTTTCAGAGCACACGACTGCATTTATTTATGTAATTGTTGATTTTACTTTATAGGTTTGTGAGATTCAAACTCTCACTTCACTAAATGTACTTCTATAAAATGAAAAGATACTATGAAAGGTTTAAAGTTCTTAAACAAAATCACGAATAGGATTACAACACTGTGACACTTTAGACTTAGAGGATCAAATCCTTAGCTTCTGTAAGGAGATTTTTCTTAGGACAGATGTATTGCTTTGTAATACAAAACATGCACGTGCCTGACCTTTTGTTCTAATCTCAATATCATTTATGTGAACACAATAATGGGGAACAAATATACTGACGTTGACCTATTAGACACTGTAAGCGGTGCATTTGTTGCAGAAAAAAATAATCTAACATTTCATGAAAAACGTAGTGAGAAGCTATGTGATGTGACATCAGCGGTGATGTGTCTGTGAGAAAACCCTCAATATTATATATTACACTATAAATTAGTTTAGCCCTACATACAATATAGGTTAATGAAGTTGGCAGGAAAAATGCTATCATCATGTTTTTAATAACATTCTCAATAGTGAGAGAAACGGAACAAGGAAAGATGGAGGATAAAAGTGAGGCAGGGTTGAAGGGGAAACTTGCTGCTCGATTTAAAATAAAAAATTCTGCAATCAATGTTGCACAGCAGGGCAGAGATCAGGGAGGCTGCGTTACCCATATCTTACTGAGTTGTATGGCCAGTCAGCAAAAAAGGCTCTAAGGACCCCAGTGTCCTCTGTGTGTAATATGAACAAACAACTGGCAGTGAAGCTTTATCTACACAGCCCTTCAGGTGCACCAGTGACTGAGGCAGTGCAAAGACAGAACTGGCACCTCTAATGTGAAATGCACAATGATAATATGTAAAGAGCATTGTAAGGTTCTACTAAGTTAACTATTTGTTTATATTATTGGCTTTGTATACGGTGTATCAGATTTATATATTTGTATGTATTTCTTATCCTCATTGTTTTAAAATTAATATGATGGAATCGGCACAACATTTGTCTCTGAAATACAGTGGAGTAGAAGTACAGTATAACATGGCACCACATGCAGGAAACATTCAGATGCTCTGAAAAATATTATACTCACACTGTAGCACTGTTTTGTTTGCTCCTCATTGTCTGGGGCCTTGGGTCCCTTGAAAGGCGCTTTATAAATTCCATTTATTATTATTATTATTATTATTAAAATGATGAATGAGGTTGTAATGAAATGACTTCAGAGCTAGCACATATTGTTTTCTAGCTTGATGTGTTTTTGATCATACATTCATTTTGCAGAAAACATCCAATTTGTGTTTATGGCAGGTTTTTTTTATGCTGATACTGTATCTGTGCTCTTTCAGAAACAGAAGAATAATGATCCATCCAGTGTCTGCCTAGAATCAACGTCACGGGAGAAGACTAACTCTCAGTCGGAGCCCATTGAATAACTTGTCTTGTAACTATTATTTTTGTCTGACTGAATCACTTTTCTCAATGTTATTGTCAAGACAACTCTCTATTCATTACTCACCAGATCATCTTGCCATGAAGGCTGTGGCCTCTGGACATGATGAAGGCCCTCAGGTATGTCCTGAAAAAAGCAAATGCCCACTAAGCAAACAGAACATTTTACATCTCGATATTAAAACATTTAATTATGTTATTAAAATAAGTACATTACAATTCTTATTAGGCAGACACTGACAAGAAGTGACATCCGCCATGCAGTAAAAAATGTGCAAACTTCTTTCTAGTTTTATAATGAAATTCAGGCTATATGCCGCATGAACTATCAGTATTTTCTTTGCCGTTTCTCTTTGCAGCTGGTAATGACAATGTGAACAAATGAAAATGGGATACAATACAATGGATGGATGGATGGAGGAACTGGAGGAATAATTGGAATGGGATTTCTGAAGCACAAATGACGAATGATACAAAAAATTCATGGCTTTTGTACTCACTGGGTAAATGTCAATCTTCCGGTCCCGGCCAACAGACATCACATAGCTTCAAATATAAAATTGCACAAGCTCAACATAGATTAGAATGTATACTGAGCAAAGAACACTTGCCAAATATCACATCATTACTCACAAAGTCCTGTGAACTTGCAAAAAGATGCAGTCGCACACTTCGTGACATTCATCATCTACGGGAAAGATTGAAAGGGATTTTTCACAAATACTGTATAATATAGTATACAAACTTTTTGTTTTATGCAGAAGTAATGGAAAGGTCAAATACATACCTTTCCTAAGTGTCTTTAGGCACTGACCATTGTTAAAGTTCCAGATCTTTACACAACCATCTCTTCCACCTGTGATGAGTCTGCAAATAAAAACAACTTATTAAGATGAAGTTGTGGCTCAATATATTTTATTAAAGTGAAATGTATCACAAACTGTTGTACTGTACCTCCTCCCTTTGGGGTCAAAAGCCATGCATGTGATGGCAGACTGGTCATGGGTGCCACCAAATTCAAAAAGCTGCCGCCCAGTGTCAAAATCCCAGACTTTAACCACCTGGAAAAAGTAACATATTGAACGAACTGTGCTGTTGATATACAGTAAGTAAGATCAATTCTGTTTTGACACAGATTGGATAATTTCTTCGCTGGAAATGTGAAGTTGGGTCACTTGAATGACTTTGTGATGTACTAAAGTATTCATTTACTCACGGATCCCTCACTGCAGCTGACAACCTGACGGAACTCCTCACTGTATCCGCAGCACATTACAGTCTCATCATGAGAAACAGTCAGACGGCTGTGGAGCCTCGGCCTTAAAGAGGAAAAACTAATAAACATTAATAAAAGAACAACTCTTCAACAGTCTTTTCTGTATTTTTTCTTATTTGAATTTCACAAACCAACAACCTTGAGAAATTTTGTTTTTAAGTATCTTCACAGTACATTGGATTCTATGATGAATAAAGAACGGGGGCTTGACAACCAACCTTATCTTCAGGGAGAGCACCGCAATGCAGTCTGCTGCAAAGTAGAAGGATTTTACAGCAGAGGAATACGAGCAGGCAGATATGTCACCATGAATCCCGCTGGCTTGCGAGTCTGCTGTAAACAGGCAACACTGATCTTGAATATCCCAGATCTGAAACAGCAACAGGTAAACAGAAGTGTCCAAATTATTCACGGAATACTGTGCTAAATAAAGACTAAAACCTTCAATGTGTTCTAGAAGCACATAAGTCTTAGCCCTAATGTGCACCATAGAATATGAATACTCTATATTATATATTTGATCAAATAGTATTAACACTGTAGCTTGTCTAGGTGGAGCTTCTGTTTATCCAGCTGTGAAGTAATGTCTATAATAAGGCATCATGTTTTATAAAACAAAATCAAATAAGACTTTAACAGAAAGTAACTATAGCTAATATACATTTATAATATTGTCTTCTGAATTGTAGAGTAGTATAATTAATTTAAAAGCAGAACAACATTTAAAAACTCAAGTCAAAGACAAGGTCAGATTTTTTGTTTTACATTTTCAAAGTTTCCAACTGTCCACAGTGGTTATTGCATGCCCTCAAATGAATGCTGTACTCCGTTTGAGCATTTAGAATGTGGAAAATCACAGAAACATACAAATGAATCATAAATCACCTTCACAGTGCAGTCTATAGAGACAGAGAAGATCTGACCGTTCTCTGGGATGATGTGCAGGTAAGTGATTGGAGCTGAATGGCCTTTCAAAATACCGTTAGGTTTCCTAAAACGAAAAACCAAACCAAGAGGTGAAGCTTTTGGATTTATTGTTAATTGTCTTAAATAAAGCCCACTGAATTATGGCTCCTCACCCAGAAAAATGTGGGTTCCACATGCGTATCAGTCTGTCCATGCCTCCAGTGACCAGAAGGCTGTGCTTCTGACAAAGGTCAAAGGTCTTGACACCTTTGGATATGTTGAAAACTGTCTGGTCACACGATGCACGGAGCTGCGGAGTCCAGCTCAGTTGGATCTTCTTGGTTTTACCTTCATAGCAGGCCTCTCTGATATCATCCAACTGCTGCTCAGCGTCTGTTAGAGGCAGCACACGGCCTGAAGAAGAAACAAATATAAATGTTATTATGAGATCACGTGTATCAGCATTGATCAAACATGCCTTCTGTAGCAAGGGTGAGCCATTATCAGAATAAATTACCAAGCATACAAGTGGTCATGGTCGATCACACACCACACACCACACACGCACCCGCACACACACACACACGCACCCGCACACACACACACACACACACACACACACACACACACACACACACACACACACACACACACACACACACACACACACACACACACACACACACACACACACACACACACACACACACACACACACACACTTGCATTGATTGGTGAATTTGTGATAGATGAGTCATCATGTGTCATCCCTCAACACTCTATACCAGGCTGCCTAATGTTCGAAACCATTTAATTACTGCACACTGTAGAGTCTTAGCAACATTTTTAGCAGTCATTTGTTTATTTGGATCTTAAATCACAGAGAATATGCATGTGTAATGATAGATGTGTAAGTGTTTTAAGTCACAATAATTAAACCCATAAAGGTGCTTATGCAAACATTTCTCTCTTTAAAAGCCAAAAAAAAATGAAATTACCTATAACGAGCGAAGTAGATTCTTCTTTTGATGAGGAGACAACAGCTTGAAAACTATGAAAATATTTTGCCTAGAGTTAGAGAGAGGAGTTAGATGCTCAGCCTATTTCATTATAATATGTCCGTAATGCACGTAAATTGTTCACACCATCTGCAGATAATGTCTGTCGTCACTTGGCTGAATTTAGATGTATTTCTTTATAAGGGAAGTGAACATGCACATGGAAAAGGTTAAAACTCACCTGTGTTATCCAGTCCTGATGAACCTTCCATCTGACAAATGTCACATTTGGAAAAAGCACTGCATCGTCAATCGCTATGTTGGGCATATTTTCAATCTCCGGTAATTTATTCCATAACCTATCAATAAGAAATTAAGTTATACATCATGCATGAAACTGTTTAAATGTATTGGGACACAGGCGTACCTACAAACAGTACAACCTATAGTTAGCATAGGTATAATTTTTCCACCTTAAGTTTCTGTGCAACTACGGCTTTTACCCGGCTACTTTTCAGTAATTCAATCCGTCCAGACACTCAATTCTCTGTTATGACTAGAACAAAAAAAAAAAGATATATTCATACTTTGATCGACTTTCCCTGATATAATCTCACATACATATGCTTTATTCATGGGGATTACGGGGATGGGGATGTTCGCAGGAGAAACATAATGACCAACCAGTCAATAGAATACTGACTCTTTGGAAAAACTGATTCCCAAAGGTTTTTTTGTGCAGCCTAAAAAGATTGTGATTGAAGATAACACATACAACCTTTTCCTTCTCTAGATGTCTGCATAGCAAAGCTCAATATATTATATTCTTATGAATTAATTAAGAGTTTTGTATATTATAAAGAACATATGGAAATGTAATTATGTTATCAGAACCAGAGACTTTGATTCTCTGAAAATGTGTATCCCAAATTACAATGGAAACCTGGAAATAAGTGTTTAAAAATCAAAAAGGAAATCACAGACTGGAGGTTTTAACAGAAAGGAAAATTACCTGAGGGTATCTCCAACAGAGGATATTATAATGATAGTAACACATCCCTGAAACACAAACACCATATTTAACCTATGCCAGTATAAATCAGGTGGGGTATAATTAATGATACATTTGTTTAAGATTTATTTCAGGATTATTCAAAGGACCTACCTCCGTGTCTCCATACACAATATAACATTTATCAGGGCCAGTGCAGCTATGAGAAAAAACAGAGGCCATTATTGTGACTTATTGTGACATTTGGAAGATATGTTAACATGCAGTTTCGTTGCTCACCCAAAGTCTAATGTCAAAGGCACCGTTTCTAGAGCATTGATCTGGCAGTAAGGCTCCAGAGTGGAAAGCTCATAAAGCTGGATCTCTCTGTCCCTGCAAGATAAAAAAGACGCATACAATAAGCAAAGCAAGGATAGTGTGTGCCCTGCAGTCAGTTTACTTTATAAATAATTGGGTCTTTAATTATGTTATTAAAGCTTTTTTTCATAGTACCCTGTTCCAATCATCAGCTTGTTAAACTCTGTCATCAGAATAAAGTCACTTGCCCACTTTGACTTCCTGCTTGCTGGTCCTTCATTCTGAAATATAATTATGTTACCAATATTAAGTGAGGAAATACCAGCTGTGTCATTTAAGAACAACAACAATTAAAGGCAGTCTTGTTATAGACCTCCATTGTCAACACAGAACACATATATGAGCCATATTGTTGCCATGGGTGATGTGTTCCTATTACTAGGGCACTGTACCCATTTGTTTGGGATATATAAAAACGACATAGTCATTGGCCAATATCTGTGCCCTCAGTAGTAGGAACCAATGGGCTTCGGGCTTGCAGACATGATTTAAAGGTAGACGTATGGTCTTTAATGTGCTTGTTGGAAATAAAAAAAACAGACTTATCCCTAAAGTGTTTTGGTGAATGTACAAAGAATACATACAAACAAATGTTTGGTCTTCAGTGGTTTCAGTTCAGGGCTGCAGCAGCAAACAACACCGTCTTCTCTCACTGTTACAATGGTGCCATCATGGCTGGAGTGGATGTTGACGATGGGGATGCCATGACACAATGTCTTCATCGAGGCTGGCAGAGTGAAAGCCACCTGCTTGCTGCGTCTCACAGTTTCCTGCTTCTCTTTGTATTCATGCATCATATGTGTGCAGAACTCACCCTGTGTCACATCACTTTGTGTCAGGTTATGGTAGTCCTGCACCTTGACAGTCATATCATTTTTATCATGGCTTTATGGGTAGGGTTAGATTTCAGCGGTGGGGGGAAACAAAAATACAGAAATACTTGTTGCAAAAAGAAATTGCCTGTTTGATTTCGGCTATTTTCTACATGTTACAATTTGTTACAATATTCTTTCCAAATGAATGACACTCTGCAAAGAGTGACACATGTGCTATCATGCAGTAACATGTGTATTGAAATTCCTGATTTAGCCCAAATCATTGTGTTCAGGTGAGTAACAGCTCTACTTGCTCCACTAATTCATAGTGAATTACAACTGTCACATTTCATAGGGGCATAGTGTGCAAAGTGTCATAAAAAAGGCAAACCTCCTGAATGAAATGTGAATGCTCCATAAGAAACAAATATACATTTAATCTCACCCATGAAATCTGTCCTTGGCCCAAAAAATCAATCTTCTTAAATAACCCTTGTATCTGCGCATTGCTCTGTGAAATAACAAAAGAATAGAGAACAATGACACAAATCAATCAGGCAATAGCTGAGGCTTGTCCTCGATTGCAAAGAAATGAGACACAGATAACGCAGAGATGAGAGAATCTGAGACAGAGTTAAAATATTAGGAGGAATGTGCCACTGTCCTTACTGTCTTAGGCAAACCCAAACACTTCTTCACTATACGTCCAAAACACTTTGCATCAATGGATCTCGAGCCACCCCTTTCAAATTCCTTTACAAGAAAAAATGATGTCACATATTGCAGAAATGCATATCTAGACTGTCAGTGAGTTTTAAAAAGATGCAGTTCATACAATACCTCGAACGCTAGTTTCAATTTCTGGAGGTTGTCGAGTGATATCGTCTCATCAATCTTATTGGAGAAAAGAACAGTTGTGACATGTGTTATTACATGAACCAATAATAATGCTGGTTGATTGTGAATATTCAAAGAAAAGAGCACAATACAGGATATACCAGAAATCAGGTTCAATTGACAAAAAAATGCTCCTTCTAATTTATTTTCAGTCCACTCAAATGCACTCACCAGGCAGTTCATAAAGCATGCGTGCTAGAAAGGAGATATTAACAGCATGTAATTATCAACACATATGGTTAGGGCTGCACCTCTGAGTATTAATGACTATCTGTAAAGGCCATTTGTCAGCCATGATGTGTGGGGATGCTTTCACAAGGCGGGATGGCTGGCCATGTTCTCTGCGTCTAATGGCCTCTCTTCATTTTGCTATGGTTTCCTGGCAACGGGTCATTTATCCATGACACTATTTGATCCATCATTAATAAATAACGGGGATAAACAGCCTAGTTCCTTAAGGATGTAACTCGAGTCAAGGTTTCCCCACGGTATCTCCTGAATTTCAGAGGTAATTGTTCCATCAGTCAGTGATGGAAGTGCTGAAAGTTGTCTGCTTTACAACATTTCTTTATGAACACTGCATAACTTTGAACTCCTGAGCCTGCTTCGTCCAATCTGCCATGGCACATTGCTTATGCAGGAGAGTGTGACTGACACCTGCACCGGAAACTTCTGCTGGTGTTCAGGCTCCTGCATCAGTCCATCATTTTTGTCAGCTTGAATTTGAATCTACTGAGGTCCTTTTAAGTGGTTGGCTCAGCAACTAAGTTTGTTCCACTTTAGACTGAAACATGGCCATCCCTGGCTCTGGGACAGATCGTCTTGCCCAATGCGCTGTCAGGCTGGGAGTAAATTGATCATCAACTTGATTTAAAATGGCACTTTTGGAATTACCTCATTCTTTCTGCAGCTCACCTTGTGAGTGGGATATGCTTCAGCTGTAGTGTAGTTTAACCACATCAGAAAGAGTGTGTAAACTAGTGATCGTAACACTCTAGTGACACCTTGAGGCTAAATGCTGCAACTTAAAGAAAGCAGACTCAATGGTAAAATGATACAAATCTATCATGGCCCTGAAATAATCAAAATTTAGGAGAATCTTTCAGTTTGAGAGGTCAAACATATCCACACTTATTTCTCAGATTTTACTTTCAGACTTTGTTAACTTTACCTTGAGGCTGCACAATCTGCGAGTTGAGTCAATAATAGGGTGTTGTTTTCTCATTTGAGCCTCATTTCCTTGTGTGATTGAGTGTCTTCGCCTGTTCTGGCTCAGCAGCTCTCGCACCAGCCATTCAGGCTGCTGTTTGTCCTCGCTGCAGTCATCTGTGAGTTTCTCAACGCAACAACCTGACCCCGTCGTCCTGTCTGCAGTTCTCCACAGTTCACAGAGGATGCTGGAGGATTTGAGATGTTGTTTTAATTAAATGCAAGCACTGTTCTTATAGCAGATTGTTATGATGAGTAAATATTGTTCTGGAAAACATTATTATTATGTGAGAAGCTTGTTATTTGTGGTCACTTGTGGCGAAACAAGGTAGCCAACAATGTTACACATACAGTATGTCTATGCAGAGATCTATTAAATCATTGCAGTGGGACTTTTCCATGGATGTAGAAAGAGAGCCGTTATCAGGCTTCATATTACATGTACACTGTAACTCCTCAGTGCTACCCCAGATGGCAACTCAAGCAGCATGACAACAGTAAACATGTGATTAACATGACAGAGAAACAAGGGGCTCAACCTATTATTACTAAGTTCTCCAGACACTGAAACAGTTCAAATTAATACAAAATGGCTTTTAACTATAAATAAATCAAGAGAAATACACACATGTGGTGAAATTAAGGAGAGAAACATAATATCAGGTTACCTGGACACATGTTGGGTTTCTAATCTTCCTGAGGCTGAAGAGGAGCGGACCTCCTTCCCCAATGGCATCCTTGTTAGATGTTGTATTTTAAAGGGTTGATGTGATGTAAAACGCAGACTTTAGTGCAGCACATTGCCTCAGTCAGACTTTAAACACACAGATCTCACATTCGTCTACCTGACACTCACTCTAACATTACACCTGAGCTGAGCAGGTGGCCCCATGGTACTGTAGCTAAGAAACCAAGGGTGACAACTGAGACACTAAAGACAAGAAGCTGCACTTGTTGACGGCCTTGTTAAAGCCATGTTAAATATTGTTTAAAATTAACAATGTATTGCACTATTTACATTGAACTTAAATGAGACGATTATCGTAGCAATCTTTAAAGGGGACCTATCATGCAAAATGCACTTTTGTACGTCTTTTAGAATATGTGTCCCCGGTGTTCCAGGGAACTCACCAAGTGTCAGAAAACACAACCCTCTCTATTTTCCTCCATACCCAAATCTCTAAAAAAGGGGCTGCAACGGATCTGATACAGACTGATCCAGATTTGAACACTTTCCTGACGTCAGGACAGTGGCGCTACAGCTATTGGGCCAACTCCTCCAATCAGGAGGAGACAGCCACGGCCATTGCCGTTCGAAAGCGCTGGAGACGCTGTAGTACATATGCCAGGCCTGTAGGTGGTGCTGTTCTCACAGAATCAGCCCTTGCAAAACAGGGCTAAAATAGTGCAAATTGAGCGAAATGAGGCATGGCTAAAATGCATGATCTGTTTGGTATTTTGGAGAAGAAAAAAAAGTATAAATATGCCTTATATAGGTATGGTCCTACACTATATTATTATAATATAGCATGATAGGTCCACTTTAAGTAATACTAGTTAATTTTCGTTGAACTACCAAGGGGATAAAGAAATTAAACAAACATTATTGAATTTCTTTGAGAATGAAATGGAAAACAGTGTATCACAATGCAAAACAGTAGGATAAAAAGTGGTACCGCTTGTGATATTCTAAGCAGATTGAACCATTAAATCAATGTAACATGTTTTTAATGAGATGTGTTATCAAGCTGCAAACAGACTGCAAAATGTACGAGATAGCAGAATACGGGGGCAATGAAACACGAAGGCAGCTAAGTATGTTTTCACTAGGCAGGAGTGTTTAATTATCACAGCACACAGGTTCCACAACAATAATGACATAGCAATTAAATGAGCGTTAATTATATTATGTTATACTGGTTATTACAGTTATGACCCCTTTCATTAGAAAAAGAAACAGCAAAATACAAAGACAGATAAACAAACCTCTACCATAAGCAACAAGGTTTATAGGTCCTGGCTAGCTTGATATCCACTCTGGTGAGCAGCGATTAGACACAATAGCTGGGAGTTTATTAACTTTCTCCTTTCTGTTTGGGTCTTTACTTCAAGCTGTTCTTATAGCTTCCTTTCCTGCAAAGCCAAAAGACACAGCATATTAATTACCTGTCATTGTTAAGATCAGTAAGCAGCCTGTTCAAATGCTCAAACATTTGAAGTTGAAACTTACCCTGCTCAGGTAACATTTTGTGCAACTGCTGCAGCTCCTTGGGCAGCAAAGCCTTTATCATATCTGTGACATTAGTGATTCTCTTTCCACAAACCGTAGTTTGTCAAGTCTGGTCTTCTCTGCTGAGCGTGCCTTTGCACAACAGTAGGAACTGAAACACACAGAGGGCAATAATAGATACAAAGCTTGAGGCTTGTTGAATTGTAAGCACTCTTATACACACCTATACCACGACAGGACATGTTGGGATTTGTGCTGCTGCTGTAGTGATAGAAGTTGCCCAGCAGTTCAGGTTTTTGCTTTGGCTCGCGGTAATTTTCCCTCATCTCTGTATCAGTAGAAATCTGCATTTCATGTCTGCTGTGAAGAGGTGCAAGTCTTCTTTCTGCAATATTAATATGATCATGTACTGTCAAATAGGTTCCTACAACAAATGTAAAATAAGCTGTAAAAAGGGAATTTTATGGTTGTTTGATTTTGACAGGCCTGAGTGCTTGAATGTCAGTAGTTGAGCAGTTCTGACCTTGAGGCATACCCATGTAGTCACATTTGTAGATGGAGCTGTACTGCGCTGTCAAGGCCTTACTGATCACCCCCTCAGATGGGGGATATTTCCAAGGAAAGCTGACATACTCAGAGCTTTGTGCAGCATCCTTAGGCAGCCTCCACATCATGAAAGACTTCAGGAAAATATTTTGCTTTAAAAGTTACAATACACTGGGAGAGGTCAAGCATGGCATTGAACTATAAATGTAAAATTGAGGCTAACACAGCCTAAATACCAACCTGACTGGGATGTGGGTTGTTTCTCCTCTGCCCCGAGGCTGTTCCTGTGCGAATACTCTCAGGCTTACAGGCCGGCTTACAGCAAAACTCCTTGCTGTACACAGTTGATCCAAAAGGTCCAGACTGTGAATATGAGTCTGTAATTGAAGTTGACGCTGGGCACCTACACATGCATCAACATAGGCATACAATTAAACACACACTAAAACAATCCTACATTTTGTGTATGCCCATTCAGAACTTAACCAGAAGACCATAATACATACATATCACTTACAGCACAATCTCTGCAGCTAAGTTTGGCCGGTAGACAAATTGTCTTTTATTAGAAGTTTCATATGGATCCCACCATTGTTTGCCCTCTACAAAAAAAGAAGAAATACATTATTATTAGATTGCAACGCTGAATTCCAATTTGTTCTTACACAAAAAGCTAAAGCTAAAAACAACATTTAAATCAATTGAGCAAATAACAAATAATGCAAAAGATTGAAATACTACACTGTCACCCATAAACAGTTTTGTAAACCCATGTACTATGACCCTTATTAGATACCTGAATTGATAGATAATTGTTGAATTTGCATTTTACAACAAAGAGAAGTGCGCTTTACTATCTTATTTTAATTGATGTTCAGATATAGTTATCTTTTTTCCCAATAGAGAACAATGTTCAGAGAAACTTGCGTACAGAAATGTCAAATAAATCTACAAAAGAAAGGGGGACAAAAGAAAGATTTTGGAAAGTACAGTAGGGATGACATAAGACTATTCCAGTGGAAATAATGTCTTTTTTGAATCCATAATATGAAATTACAATTACCCCTAGGCAAGGGAGCATGAAAAATACACTTCTATGTATCATAATTATAATGCTGTGAACCAAAGAATAACTAAAGGATTGATCAAAATAAATTGTGACCCGCAACAGTCCAAAATAATACCTTGAATTATTCCAATGATTGAATAGTATACACCAAATAAAGCTATATCACAGTAAAACAAGATTTAATAGACATGTATAAGAAATTCCCTTCTAAATCAAATTTAACATGTTTTTGCAAATCGAAATGATAACCTTACTTTCAAGTAAATTCAATCTTTACATATCATTGGCTTTACATTACCTTGTGTTGTCATTGGTGTCCTCTGCTGTCGTTGGTTTTCAGTGTATGAACACCTTTCCATTTCCATTTCCAGATGATAGTTCACATCATGGATAGCTTGCTGAAAAGCATAACTGACAACTGTGGATTGTTTGTGTCTTTTCAGGTAAAGTGTTGTATGTGTGCAGAGGCAGAGAGGATCCCAGCAGGGTGTTTAGGTGTTGTGGTTATGGAGACCTACAACATTTGAATGGCCCCACTGAGCTGCTCAGCAGGGGAGATGTTGCATTACAAATTCAACATGCCAGCTTTGCCCTGTTTATGTCTGTTTCTGACACTGGTGGAAAGTAACCATACATTTAACCAAGTAATTTAATTGCATGCTATTATCTACAACCCTCATACTGTACATTTACTGTTAATGACAGCTAGAGTATCATATCATTTCCACATATAATTACTGTGCATAAGGTGAAAAAGGATTGAATATAAAGTAGTCTACTTCATGCTCTCCTCCCACGTCCCTATTTAAGAAAACGTATTTTTAGCAATGTATCATACAAATATCTTCAAAGATATTTGAGTATATGATATGAATACACGATACTATCAGAGAAGGAAATCATTCAGATATTTTATGCCTTCCCAAAAGCTATTCATTAATCTTAGTATTACAATCTAATTTTACCCTGGTTTGATTAATACATCCTCAAAATAAAAACATTCTCGATCTTAACAATACAGTAAAATCCTGCTATATCCAGTACTATAATAATACATATATTGTGTTAGCCTTTTTGATAATTTGGAGGTAGGTAGAAACATTAATCAACATTTACTTTGTTCTTATTATTAAAATGACAATGTCATTTGAAATGAATTTTGCAAATGTGAATGTATCATGCACATGCAAGTGACAATGCAAGCCTTAATGCAGATTGAAATAAAAGCTCAATCGGTTGCATTGCATTGTAGCCTGGTATGACTTGTAGCCTACTATAGTAGGCTGAAGATGGGCTCATATTACATCTCTCAAGCTGGCTCTTGTTTCCCGCTCCAACATGACTCTACTTGTTATAATATTTGCTTTCTCTAGAATAAAGGCGTTGGCTATTTCAAGTTTAGCGCCACAGCTCTGCCGTGTTTTGGACAACCAACTGCACAACAAACAGGACTGAAGCAGCGCGGGTCCAATAAGATACTCCAAGGAGCTGACGGCAGCCAATGTCCAACAGACGGAGCCCGACACACAGGACAAACAGAGGCATCCTCCCCACAGCCGGTGCGTTTCTTTCTATTGTCTGGGACGTATCGACGTAGAGCTGGCTTCTCACAGAGCTACGGGGGTAAGCATAATACATTTTAAAGTATCAAATAGGGGATATTGTTTACCTGTCATGAATAGAACCGTTAAGGTTTGCACAGATTATATCTGCATTGCTAAATTGCATTTGCATGACTTAGCTGGATAGGATGCTAAAATGATATCAAGCTCCTGCTGAGGATAAATAATGTCCAGCTAACTTGGCTGCGCAGTTACCTAACTCTGAAATGAGCTTTGACCAAAACTGATAACTAAATAAAGGTGATACGCACGTAAAAGGATAGCCCTGAATGAAAGTCAACTACTACTATCTGGTTATCGTAACATCCGCTAGGGTGTAGTGAGCTAACCCGTAAAGCTGCTCTTTTAGCCTGGTAATGGTGGCTGACCGTGTTGCTATCACAAAAGCTAACGCTAGCTGGAAGGTGAGCGTAGGTTAACACGGCTGGTGCTGAAGCAGCCCGAGTGATGCAGGCGGAGCATCCTTCTGCACGAACATCTCTACTTTTGTTAAGACTTTAAACCCAATTATTTGCATTACGATGCCGATACATTCAGGTTAAAAAAGGCCTTATAAGAGCCAGGGGGCACGTGATAGCATAGCAATTGTTCGCAATCAAATCAGCCATTTTAATAATCTTCTCCTGAAATGAGCTCTTTGTCATGCCCGCTAGCTAGCACTAGCTAAATGCTAATGCTGATGGCAAGGGGACACAAAGCAATTGCAAGGCACGGTGACTAACAATGAAAGGCTGTGGAAGCTTATGCTAATATTCGCATCTACATGTTATATTAATAAGAGGCTAATTACGTCACCAGGTAATATAGTTACCACACATTTTAAGTAACGTTGTACTTTATCACCGTGAATGCATGTTGGAAATACATACTAGGACACTAATGTGTTGTATGAGAGCATCATTTTGTCCTTACATACAATGGGTTACTTATTAGTCATCCCAGAGACCCTCCTCCCACCACCCGGTTTAAACAATAGGTGGAACTGACAAAGCAATAGGCCTCCTTTTAATTTGGGTGATATTTAGATATTGTCACTGCTGCTGCATGAGTAGACTTGGATATATTTATTTTAAAAACATATACTTGTATTTCTTTTTTCTATTTAGCAATCCAAGATGGTGAAGGTTTTGGGAAAGCCGAAGGGCAAAATGTCCTCATATGCCTACTTTGTACAAACATGCCGAGAGGAGCATAAGAAGAAACATCCTGAAGCCTCTGTCAACTTCTCTGAGTTCTCAAAGAAATGCTCTGAGCGATGGAAGGTAAAATAATGACTTATTATCTGAATTTTATTTTTATAATCCAAAATGTGTTTTCATCAGTGATTGCCTTATATGATGTTTAACACAGTTTTTTCTTCCCATAGACAATGTCACAGAAAGAGAAGGGCAAGTTTGAAGATTTAGCCAAACTAGACAAGGTGCGTTATGAGAGGGACATGCAGAATTACGATCCCCCAGCCGGCCAGAGGAAGAAGCGATTCAAGGACCCCAATGCCCCCAAGAGACCACCGTAAGGGACCATAATAAAATTGCTACACTTTTGACAGTGCCAAGTGGACTGTGATATTTGAACTTATTTGATACATTTTCCCCCTCAGGTCTGCATTCTTCCTGTTCTGCGGTGACTTTCGCGCAAAGATAAAAAGCGAGCACCCTGGACTTACTATTGGGGACACTGCAAAGAAGTTGGGAGAGATGTGGAACACCTCCTCTGCAGAGAACAAACAGCCATACGAGAGGAAGGGTGCCAAGTTGAAGGAGAAGTATGACAAGGTAAATAGACAAAGCTCAACTTGTTTTTTCTTGAATCTGATAATCATATTTAGATGTTTTGAGGTTAAAATCAAATTCTGTGAAGCTGTTAAAAAAAGTAGGTTCCTCTGTAAAAACACTCTTGATTGCCTCCAAAGGATGTCCTTGCATACCGCACAAAGGGCACAGTTGAGGCGGCAGCACCTCCTCCTGCAGCAGCAGCAGCAGCGGACGACGATGATGACGATGACGAAGATGAAGAGGAAGATGATGATGATGACGATGATGAGTAGACGGCAGAGGGGTGGGACCTGAATTTTTGTTTATGCCATATAACCCTACTATATTAAATATTCACCATCTTGAAACATAAGTCAGATTGAACAAGAACATGTGTATATTTAATGTTTCTAAGATGTACAGTGTTATTCTCCTTTTTTTGTAAAGTTAACACTACATATCTTTTCTTTGGGATTTTTTCTAGTGCTAGTACTATCTCCTGCTATATGTAACAGTAAGGGAGGACTTAAAATCAGTATAAAAGTAAATAGTCTTTAGGTGTTACAACTCAAAAATAAGATTCCGAGTTGGTAATGTATTCTTTATTTTGAAAATTATTTTTTTATGTGACTTCCCAATGTCTTTTTATTGTTCTTTGAATACCACTCTAATATCAAAAGCAGCTGTTGACATTGAAGAATGTCTTCAATAAAGGTCGTTTCTTTTTTTAAGTTTGTCTTTTCTTCTTATTTTGTCAACATCCCCCAAGGCTACCAGAAAGTCATCAAAGACACAATGTGTAAAACGTAGTCCATTCATATATTATGACTTGGTCATTATGGGTAAAAGAACATGGGTTCTTTTACCCATAATGACCAAGTCGCTGCACCTTATCCCGCTTATTACAAGGCCACATTCTCAACAAAGTAACGACATGACTCCCAATATTAATTGAAATGCTTTATAGATTTAGAAAATGTTTTTATTGATTTAAAAAATAGTATTATTGATTTAAAATGGCATGCATCCGCTAAGAAAAATAGTCTGTTGTTACCGTTTGAACTACGTAGAAACGGCAGGAACTGCTTCGATAGCGTTTTTGTGGACCTTTTTTGATTACAGATTTGAAAACATCGTTGCTTGCTTTAAAAGTAGCACAATTCATTATGTCAAACCTTGGAAAGTATCTAGATATCCCTGCCCTAATGCCAAAGTAACTGGCAACTGAATATGTTTTGCCGTTTGATGTCTATGTCTGGACCGTTGCGTAAAAAGGACCGCAGCTCCGTGTTGAGGATGCCCCATTACTTCTCCGCTGTTTTCTTGTCCCTCTTTTCTTACTTCTCCGCTGTTTTCTTGTCCCTCTTGTCTTTTTCTTTTCTTCGCTGGGGACTCATCAGCCACTAACCATTCATCCACATTACTGTGCCCTCCAAATATATTAGAATCCTCCATGTTGCTCTCAGGCGGTAGACAACGGAAAACTAAAGACAAGCAAACAGTTTGAAAAGCAAACTGTATACAGTTAAATCGACCGGACTTCTTTCTGCAGATGTGAGTGTCCTAGACAAATAAATCTTGACAGCGGTCTACTACTGGATTAACAACGTGTCACGTGTTCTGAATTGACCAATCAGAATCGAGTATTCAACTAAGCCATGTAATAAAATATATTAAAGCATACATAAGTCCCACACTGTCCAATTATACTTAATAAATGTGTACTGAAATGATTGGCCATCCAAAAACGCAAACAATATACACACAACAAACATGTCTCAATAAAATGATGAGCATTTTTGTAGTTCCATTTAAAAAAAGGGCCTGATGTTAATGATTTGGAAAGGGTAAGGGAATCAGAACCCTGCAGGATTATTATTATATGTTATTATTATTTACCAGGGTATGTGTGTCAGATTTCATTGGTAAATTAGGTAAGTAGGTAATTCACATAGGTGTGTATCTTACTGCATACCAATTAACATGAACGAAGAAAATACAAATTAATTGAAGAACTATAGAATAAAACAATTTAAAAAATGGTTTGGGAACATGCAAAAAAAAATCCTTCCACATTTCTTTCTTTATTTCCCCAGAATAGCATTGGAACATGAATGTGATTTGATGGTTAGTGTACTGTGGTCTCAAATCCAGAAGGGGGCGCCACGTTAGGTAGATGAAGTTGGCAATTTAAAGAAACAGTTACTGTACATATAATTTGTGACATGTAAAAAAGTGCCCATCCCACATGCTTTTATAAGACTCACAGAAATGTTGCAGTATTCAAACAAACATTTGTCAGGTATATACATGCCTTCAGTGCATTTTTTCACG